CACCGGGTTAGCCAGGATGGTCTCGATCTCCTGACCTCGTGATCCGCCTGTCTCGGCCTCCCAAAGTGCTGGGATTACAGGCTTGAGCCACCGCGCCGGGCCACATCGATTTTTTTTGAGACAGGGTCTCACTCTGTTACCCAGGCTGGAGTTCAGTGGCACAGTTATGGCAATCTCAACCTCCCTGTCTCAAGTGATCCTCCCACCTCACCTCTGGAGTAGCTGGGACTACAGGTGTTCACCAACATATCCAGCTAATTTTTGTATTTTTTGTAGAGATAGGTCTTGTTATATTGCCCAGGCTGGTCTTGAACTCCTGGGCTCAAGCTATCCACCTGCATTGGCTTCCCAAAGTGCTAGATTATTGGTGTGAGCCACCGTGCCCAGCTATAAATTGATTTTTTTAAATGTTAAATCAGCCTTGCATTACTGGGATAAACCTCATTTGGTCATGACGTATTACCCTTTTAATATGTTGTTGAATCTGATTGGCTTTTTTTCAGCATTTTCACATGCATATCCATGAGGGATATTGGTGTATAATTTTCTTTTCTTTATAATGTCTTTGTTAGGTTTTGATAGGGAGGATGGCTTGAGCCCGGGAGGCGGAGGTTGCAGTGAGCCGAGATGGTGCCATTGCAGTCTAGCCTGGGCGACAGAGCAAGACTCTGTCTCAAAAACAACAACAACAACAACAACAACAAAAAACCAAAAAAAAGAGATGAGGACTCACTATGTTGCCCAGGCTGGTCTCAAACTCCTGAGCTCAAGCAATCTTCCCACCTTGGCCTCCCAAAGTGTTGGGATTACAGGCATGAGCCACTGTGCCTGGCCTAATTTCTTACCTCAAATTTACACCCTGTATGTCCAGACTCTTAAGTGTGGCCACCACGGCTCTGCCTGTCTGACTCCTGTCTCCCTTTCTAGTCTGTCATCTCTCCATATCCCACACTCCTCACCCCATTCATCCTTCATCCTTTCACCCAAATGAGAAACCTGGGTCATTTGTGACTCCTCCTCACTCCGAAGCTCCTGCCCTCCTACCCCTGATGCTCTCCTTATCTCCCAGTACCAGAGCCAACACAAACCCACGTCTTCCTACCCTTTGGCACTTGGTGCTAAGTGCTTTGCACATTCAATCTTCATACCTACCCTATGCCCAGTTGGCCACAGCTCTCCTCTCACAGATGAGGAAACGTGTATGAGGTCATGCAGCTATTAAGAGTAGCACACGACCCAAAGGCAGGTCTGGCTGACTTCAGACTCTGGGATGCTACTCACTGCACTGTCTTAAATCTCTTTAGTCCTCCAGTGGGACCACTGCAACCATGTCCCCCTCCAACCTGGATTTTCAATGACCCCAGAGTGAGCCTGCTACATTTCACTTGCCTCTGGTCACCCCCAAACTCCATGTGGCCTCTTGATCTGATGTCTACCTTCATTTTTCATCTCTTGGCATCCATCTTCCTGTTCCTCACCCTAAGCCAAAGCTACCCCCAGAGTACGGCAGGCTCTTCTGCACCCAATGCCTTTGCAAATGCTATTTCTCATACCTGGAAAGCCTTCTTCTGGCAAAGTCCTACTCATGCCTGAAAGCCCAATTCAAATAATCAGTGTAATCCTCTCCATGACAGACCTGGCTGTCCAATCTACGTTTTTCCTTACAGGCGTGAGCCACTGCACCCGACCTCTGGTTAATTTTTTTTTTTGACAGGGTCTTGCTCTGTGGCCCAGGCTGGAGTGGCGCCATCATAGCTCACTGCAACTCCTGGGCTCCAGTGAGCCTCCCAAGTAGCTGGGACTACAGGCTCATGCCACCACACCTGTCTAATTTTAAACATTTCCTGTAGAGGACAAAGTCTCGCTATGTTGCCTAGGCTGGTCTTGAACTCCTGGCCTTATGTGATCCTCTCACCTCTGCCTCCCAAAGTGTTGGGATTACAGGCGTTGAGCCATCATGCCCACCTAATTTTTGATCATTTTTAATGCTGGCCCATGCCCTTCTGGGAGAGAGGATCCCCAAAAGAAAGCCACCATTTCAGTGGGGGATCTGACGCTCCTATGGGAAGGGGAGACTCGGGGCACTAGGGGCAAACATCTTTGCTCATTGGTTCAGAGAAGAGTACAAGACACCAAGGAGGCGCTCAATGAAAATCTGCTCAAGACTGCCGCTCCTCCCTGCAAAGCCTCGAGCATCAAGCAGGGACAACTGGATGTGATTTTTTGGATCTGCAGTTCAGGATAATTCATGAGTCGTTGCCTGTGCACAAGGCCATTGCTCCTTCTGTGGTCTCAGAACCCCTTCAAGAACCACTGACGCTGCAGTCCCTACCACAAGGCGCGCATGCGTGTCCGTGCGCGCACGCGGATGTGCACCACGGAGGGGCTGAGGCTGGGAGCCATAGTCAGGGGCACCGGGTGGGCTTTGGCGGGGGATCGACCTGCCTTTCAGGTGCCGGGGGTTTGGGAGCAGGGGAACGGGCCCCGGGCCGATTCCTGACCGCCCCCTCCGCGCCCCGCCCCCACTCTCTGTCGCTTTCCCCGCCCGCCCGAACACCCGCCCCCGGGCGCCCGCCCGCTCCCACCTGTCACCCCCATGCAGACCGGGGCTCTGTCCTGGAGGCGGGGAGCGGGCTGGTAGATGCTGCCTCTCAGCCTCCAGTGTGCTCTTTGGCTGGGAGACTGGGAGGCGCTGGAAATATTGGAGGCGCTGGTGCCTGTGATGTCGCCGCCTCTGTGACGTCCCTGCCGCGACCCCGCAGGCAGGGAGCCGCATTTAGGTTCCGGGCGGGCGAGTGGGCGGGCAGGCGGGGGACGGCCCGAGTGAGGTGTCCTCCGAAGGCTGCGGGCCCGAAGCCAGAACCCCTCTCCAAAGACCTCGGGAGTAGGGCTCGCGCTTCCGCTGCGGGCCCAGAGCAAGAGGCAGGCGGCAGGTAAGTTTGACTCTACTGGACCGGACTTGCACCCGCTCTGCACGCCAGGGGCTCAGGGCTGCCGCCCCTTTCGTGGTCCCAGGGCCCTTCCAAGAACCGGCTAAACCAACCCAAGCTGCGCGCACACACATTTGTGCACACAGGGAGTGTGGAGCCAGATTCGATAAGGCATCACGTGTGTCCCAGCTCCATGACCAAGGAACTCAGCCACAAGGGCATCCCTGGCCCCATGCAGGGCTCAGGAGGCAGCAGAAAGGGTTGAGTCCAGGCCTCAAGGACAGGAGGGGAAGGTGGAGGGCCTGTGGTGTGCATCCAGCATCCCTAGCGGGTCAGGGCCCAGAACCCATCCCTATTTCCCTTCTGGTGGTAGAGGGCTGCCTGACTTGGGCAGTGGCACAAAGCATGCAGGCTTTGTCGTCCGCCTCCTCCACCCTTCAGCCTGGCAGTGTTTGGCAAGGGACTTCCCTGATGCCACTGGGCAAGGCATCTTGCCTAACTGGTCTGAATGAATAGCCCAGAGGTGGGACTAGAAGCACCCACTGGGAGGAGTGGTGGGAAAGCAACCCCACTCAAGGGCTGAAACAGTCCTTGTCCAAAACAAGGGGGACTTGAAAAGATCTCACCAAGAAGGCAGAGGGGCAGTTGTTAGTGTCGTGAGGTTCAGCAAGCCGGCAGGCAAGAGAGAGGACACCAATGGCCTGGAAACATTTGTCATCACCCCAAACTTTATTGCTTACAAAGAGTTCTCTACAACCCACACTGCAGTACCAACGCTGCAGTTCTTTATGTGCTGGGGGCCGGGGCTGTCTCCCCGGGAGCAGTCTGGCTCGCTGTGGACAGCTGGACAAAGGCTGTCTTGGCAAGACGTGGGGATGAGCTTCTCCCAAGGAGTCTCAGCGTCCCCCACCCCAGGAGGCTGAGGCTAGCTGACACCCCCCTGACAATTCACAGCTGACTTAATGCTACATGAGTCCTGAGTAGCTCCCCTGGGAGAAGAGGCTAAGCTGGGGCAGTGGGGAAGTGGTTGCTATTAGAGAAATCTGGAGGAGGTTTGAGGAGTCATATGCATGTAGACAGCTCAAGACTGTCCCTTCACCCCATCTCCTGGCCTGCTATGCTCCTACAGAGTCACTGACCTGCCCTGCCAGAGGGCAGCCATGAAAGTGCTTTGAGGTCATCAGAGTGCAAAGTGCCGTCAGCAGTACCCTCCGGCCCGGGGCAGGGCAGGGTGAGTGTTCGTGTGAGCTGTGCTCTGGGGGGCCCGCACCCTGGACGCTGACAGTGGGGCTGGGGTGCCGGAGCGTCTCTGTCTGCTGCTTTCCTTAGTATTGATCATGTCCATCTACAGACCGTTCCTGTCAGGCACATCCTGCATCACCCTTCACCTTTATAGATGAGGGAAGAGCGCCAGTGAGTCTGGGGCAGTGTTGGGCCTGAAGGGGCTCAGGGTCTGCTGCGCTGGGGAAGAGTGATAGCCAGCAGCAAAGGGGCACGTGTCTGGGGACTGAGAACCACTTCACTTACACACCTTCTTTGGTCGTTGGCTGAACCAGAAGTCAACTCAGGACCTGTGTTACAACAATCTGAAAAGCGTGGTGTATTCTACCAGGGAGCCTTCTGGGATCAGGCATTCCTTTCCCCTACACCCGAAAGGGATGAGCTGGCCAGGTGAGGCCGGGCAAGGGGGTCAGAGGCCTCCCGTTAACCTACGGGTGGGCATACCTGCTGACCTGGTTCTGCACTGAGCCTGAGTGTGGGCCCTTACTCACTCGACACCCTCACACCAGCCTGGAGGGTGAGGGGCCGAGGGGCTCGCCCATCCCTTCTGACCCAGGCTGGAAGCTGCTCTCTCCTGTCTGCCAGCAAATGGTCACTGATCCAAGCGGGCCAGGCCAACTCGACTGGAGCAGGGCAGAGAAGATCCTGTTTGTTTCCCGAGGGAACTCCTGCCGTCCTCCTCTGTCTCCTCACGTGGCAGAGTGTTTTCTCAGCAGGGTGGGGCAGGACTCAGGTGGGAAATCCTGGGAGGCGTTCTGCTTGCCCCCACCTTGCTGCTGCCAGGCCCTGGTCCCACTGCTGAGCCGGGGGCTGGCAGATCCCTGGGAGCGGCTGAGCCTGTGTTTCAGGGCAGCGTTGTGCGCCGAGCAGGAAGGCTGCTTCCGGCAGCGTGGAGCCGGCAGTGGAGGGTGGGGTTAGGGCCTGTTCTCCAGCTGGCCATGCTTGACCCTCCAGCTCCAGGCGAAGCTGCCATCAGGGGCCAGCGTGCACTGCAGGTCGATGCCCGAGTCTGGCACCTCCATGTCATAGCGAACAGGCTGCCCATCTTTGGTCACCAAGCTGAAGGCTGCGGCTGGGATCTAAGGGTGGAGCAAACCAGTGGGCTGAGATCATGGCATGGGGCTCAGAAGCCACGTAGAAAGGTAAAGACATCTCCCTCCAGCCAGACTGGCAGCCCTAAGGGCACTGTCTGTTTGTCATTCCACAGGACTCAGAGAATCCCACCCAGCCCAAGTGTGGGTCTGGAGGACCTCTCCGTCCCCACTGCCAGTCTTACTTTGAGGCCCTGGGGGACGTCGAAGGCCAATTCCACGTATTCCCTAGAGTGCCATTCTACTTCTTTGAAAGCCTTCCTCCTGGAGGGTGGGGCCAGGTGCACTGGCTTCTGGGACTCTGCTGGTCAAGAGAGTACCTGCGCCCCTTACCTGGCTGCTGATGCCAGTGGCGATGTCTCCCACTTTGACCCGGTGGAACTCCCGGATGTGCAGGTGTTCACCATTGAGAGACTGTATTTGGACTTTCACACCTAGAAGGCGGGCAAGGTGACAGTCAGGAGAGCAGCTGCTGGCTCTCCAAGGACCAGGGTCCTGGCAGGGGCTGAGGGAATGTTTTTGTTAAAAGTCACTCTGCCCTTAATGTAGAGGGGAGCAGGTCTGGTGTGATGAAGCAGCAGAGATAAAATTTAGGCTGGTCTAAGCACAGCTGCATTTTTGTTTGTTTTTGAGACAGAGTCTTACTGTGTCGCCCTGGCTGTAGTGCAATGGAGCAATCTCAGCTCACTGCAACCTCTATCTCCCGGGTTCAAGTGATTCTCCTGCCTCAGCCTCTCGAGTAGCTGGGATTACAGGCATGTGCCACTACACCCAGCTAATTTTTATATTTTTAGTAAAGATGGGGTTACACCATGTTGGTCAGGCTGGTCTCGAATTCCTGACCTCATGTAATCCACCTGCCTTGGCCTCCCTAAGTGCTGGGATTACAGGCGTGAGCCACCACACCCAGTCACAAAGTTGCATTTTATAAGAAAAATAAAAAATTCAGGCTGGAACAGCCCTCATGTTATATACACCTGCTAGTTCTTTCTGGCCGCCAGCACCTGGGATCTGGCCTGTGCGTTGCTAAGAGCTGGGGTTGGCTCCTATGGGGAAGTAGTATTTCAACTTGGATGCAAAGCAGAAAGGAACTGAACACAAAGATCCTTAAATTAGATTATGGGCAATTTAGATTGTTCCCCGAGTTGAAGTGGCCTCTGGCCTGCTGCCATGAGTCACACTTGCCCTGGAGAGCAGGGCACTCCGATCTGAATATGCCCTTGTTCTAGCAAAGCCACATCATAACCTATGCAATCAAGCTTGAAAACGAAGGAATTTTATGTTGTCTTTCTCATTTGACCTCAGATCTCAGAGGGGGCTCCTTTTGCTGAGTTTCTGATTAAAATGCTCATGGGTCCTGTTCCTTTCCCTTTAGAAGAGATTAATTGCTCAGTTTCCTGACTCCAGGTCAAGAGAGACTGCTCTCCTCCCCAAGCTAGGGGAACCTTCTGGGACTCCATCAGCCGCCAATGAGGGGATAATGGTCCCTCACTGCCCAATCAGGAGAGGCTCGTGGGTGATGGGGACCTTTGCTCGAAACCCAACTTATTGGCCAGGAACCTCAAGTTCTGGGACCAGGCGCCTTCCTCCCTCCCACTGTGCCAGGGGAGGGGAGACACAATCCCTCAATGGCTGTCTAGCTCCAGGCAGATCGGCTGCCATGGGGGCTGCTGAGCAGGTGGGAATTGGACTGTACCATTGAAATAGCTTGGGGTGTCGGTGGGCCGCCCCCGGGCCAGCACCATGTTCCAGCTGGAGCTTCGAGCCTCGGCCTGGCTGCTCCAGGAGTGTACGCCTGAGCTCAGGGTGTCCCGCGAGCTTTGAGAGGCCTTTGATGGGTTCTGAAACAACAGGATTGGGTACGGACTCAGGGCCCTGGGCTCCAGGATCCATCTCTGGCTTGGGTCTCATTTGAGGCAAAGGGCCACTGCTCATGCCCTCAGCTGGAGGAGGGTAAGGGTTGCCTCCACGGGGGACCAAGGCCTGCCTCCCCATTATCTCTGGTGGCAAAACACATTCCCTAATCCCAGAAGGGTAGATTCCCATGGTTTCTCTCATTCTGAACCATGACCACCTCCCCCGACCTAGTGAGGACCCCTACCAGAAGGAAGGGGTGACCCCCATCACCCTCCCTTTACCCACTACTTGCAGAGTCCATTCACTAGCTGGACGCAAAGCTATTTGCTCTGTGCCAGGACCGGGAGAACCACACCCCTGGAGCCATGGCTGCGGGGCCACAATTGACTCACCTTCTCGCTGTCATCCGACAGGGAGAGGCTGTCGATGCTGAGGCACGAGAGAATTTGCTCCTGCTCCTCCAGAGAAAATGGCTGGGACAGGCTGTTCAGGAATAATTCTGCAGGGAAAAGTGGAAGAAAATGGCTGTGAAAGACTGGGAGGAGGCTGGCTGTGTTTTCAGGGGTTCTTCCTGCACAGTCTGTAGAAGCTGAGCTGCTGGGGAAGGGGCTGGAAGAAAGCCCACACCGCAGGTAAGGAGAAGCGCCGGCCTCCCTCCGCGGCCAGTGCTCGGGGCCCCAGCTGCAGCCATGGTTGCCCGTACCTATTTCCAGCTGCTGCAGTTCCTGCTCCGGGAAGGTTGCTTTCCGCTCTGGTGAGCTGGGGTTTCTGGCAGGGGCTGGCTCCAGGGAAGACAGAGGTAAGGGTTCCCACATCCCAGACTCCTCCTTGCTCAAAGTCAAGGGAGGAGACTTGTTTGGCTCTGGGGGCTCTGGTGGGAGAGGAGGCTGGAGCTTAGGGGCTCTGCCTGTTGTCTCCTCAACTGGCCGAGGCTCTGGGGCCCTTGGCGAAAGCTCCCTCGGCTGGGCATGGAGGGTCTGGTGATAATTGGCTTGATTTGGTGGTGGATGTCTTGGTTCTTTATATTCTCCCCTCCAAGGGCTCTTCAGACCTCCCACTAGAAAACAGAGAGGACAATGGTGAGGGGAAGCGTGCTGTGCACAGGCTATCCAGGCAGGAGAGGCCTCTCCTGAGTGCAGAAGGGCTAGAGGCGAACAGAGGGGAGGACCTTCCCCAGGCCACCATGGGAGGTGACTTCAGAGGGCAGCGTGGTGGTCTCCACAGGAGACTTCCTCAGTAAGATGGTCCCAATATAACAGGGATAGGACTGGATTTCTGTCTTTAATTCCGTTTTCATTCTAGGTGTCAGTAGCAAATTGAAAAACTACAGAATCAGTTCCAGAGGACTTTGTTAACAAGAAAGAGAAGATTGAAAAAAGCCCTGGGGCTACACCAACTCAAGAGCTCCTAGGCAAAGTGGCGTCCTGGACCCACCATCTCTCCTACCCTGTCCTCAGTCAGTACTTCCCCAGGCACCGTTGGTTCTGGTGCGGGGCGAGTTCAACCCTGGGACCACCCTCATCCTTATAACTACCAGCTGTCTTTGGTGAGGTGCAAGATCTCTCTGGTTTTATTTCATTTTCATTCCTATAATCACGGCCTTTTTGTGCCCATCCCTCAGGTGACGTTCTATTGTGTTTGATGTATCATTTTTGATTGGGTTGTGTTCTTGCAAAATGTGTGTTGTTTTATTTATCGATTTTTATTTTTGTATTTTTTGTTTTTTAAAGAGACGAGGTCTCACCATGTTGCCCAGGCTGGACTCCAACTCCTGGGCTCAAGCGATCCTTCCACCTCAGCCTCCTGAGTGGCTGGGACTACAGATGTGCGCCACCATACCTGGCTATTGATCAGTTTTTAGTTTACCAAACATTACCATCTGGGTTCCATTCTGTGTCGGGTTCTCTTTCCACTCGGCACCATGGCTTTAGGATCCGTCCATGCTGCTCTGTGAACACCGAGTTGCTTTGACTGCTTGGTGCTCCATGCGGCATCCTTTTTTGTCTCTGTCCTCCCAATGGGGGACCCCACTGTACCCGACTCCCCTCCCACAAAGGAAGCTGTAGCGCGCATCCTCAGGCGTGTTCCTATATGGATCTGTTGGCATTCCTTTGTCAGTGCACCCAGGGGTAGCGGTCCTGGGTCTCAGTCTGCAGACATCTGCCTGAGTGCAGCCAGGCGCTCTCGAGTGGGCAGCCTTGTCCACATGCCCATCAGCAGCACCCGAGGGGTCCCAACAGCCCCACATCCCACCAACTTTCTGCTTTTTTCCAGTCAAATGGCTCTCGAGTGTTACCTGGCTTCATTTTTTTTTTTTTGAGTCAGGGTCTCTGCTGCCCAGGCTGGAGTGCAGTGGTACAATCGTGGCTCACTGCAGCCTCGACCTCCCAGGCTCAAACAATCCTCCCACCTCCTGAGTAGCTGGGACTACAGGCACATGCCACCATGTCTGGTTAATTTTTAAATTTTTTTTGCAGAGAAAGGGTCTTGCTATGTTGCTCAGGCTGATCTTGAACTCCTGGCCTCAAGTGATCCTCCTGCCCCAGCCTCCCAAAGTGCTGGGATTACAGGTATGTGCCACTGCTCCCGGCCTCTCTTTATTTTGTATTCTTGGATTCCCAGCGAGTTTCAGCCCCCTTTACACATCATAACCCTTGTGATATTAGTAAACATATATTTCATCTTTAACCCCATTTCTGGCACATAACTCCTAAAAGCCTTACTCTCCAAAGTGATCTCTTTCTATGTACTAATGGATTGACTGAAGGCTGGCAGCCCCTAGGTAGCTTCAGGATGGAGGCTGGTCATCCGGGAGACACATGCAGGATTAGAGGGCTGGGACTTTCATCCTACCATCCCACATACTGGGAGGGAAGGGGGCTAAAGGTTAAGCTGTTCGCCAATGGCCAATGGTTTCATCAGTCATGACTTTGTAATGAAGCCTCCACAAAAACCCAAGAAGACAGGGTTCAGAGAGCTTCTGGTAGCTGGGCACGTGGAGGTTCCTGGAGTGTGCCAAGCCCTAGAACCTCCGCGCTCCCTCCCACATGCCTTGCCCTATGCATCTCATTTGTATCCTTTGTAATATCCTTTCTAATAAACTGGTAAATGTAAGGTTTCTCTGAGTTCTGTGAGCCACTCCAGCAAATTAATCGATCCCAAGGAGGGGGTCGTGGGGTCCCTGATTTATAGCCAGTTGGTCAGAAGCACAGGTAAACACGTGGGCCTGAGACTGGCATGGGTAGGGGGCACAGTCTTGGGGATCAAGCCCTCCTGTTGCGGGCTCTGATGCTGCCTCCAGGTAGATAGTGTTAGAACAGAACTGAATTAGAGGACACCCAGCTCGTGTCTGCTGCGAACTGATTGCTGGCTTGGTGGGGTGGAAATCCCCACACATGTGGTCACAGGAGTCTTCGGGTTGATTGTAGTTGAGTGGGAGAATGGAAAAAGCACTTCGAGTTCGTGTGTGAATTTTCTCTTTCCCATCTCCTGAGCGCTGCCTCTGCGTCAAGGCGTGGTACTGCCACAATCTCCCAACAACCCCGAGGCTGCTGCACCCCCTACTCCAGAGGGGGAAACTAAGGCGGCTCTGAGGGGTACCTTGCTCTGGACCTGTGGCCACCTGTCTCCTCTGTCCACCTCTGGCCTCTGCCCCCCGGGTCAGCCAGCGCGCGGCTCCTCTTACCTTGCTGTAGTGCCTGGTTCACCTTCCCTGCCAGCTCCGCTGCAGACGCGCGGTGGACGGGCTCTTTCTTCAGCCCCTCTTGGATGGCCTGGGCTGTGAGAGGGGCACAGGAGGCTGGGATCTCCCTCACAGGCGGAGGCTCGCTGGCAATCTGGGGCACAAAAGACAACAGGTGAGGCCTGCCTTCCCTCATTTCCTGATACCCGGCTGTTACTGCTCTCTGTGCAACTCCCGCTGGCCCCTGCTGCCACTGTGCTGGGGTCTATCACAAGGAATGGAGGGGTCTGGGCTACAGTGAGGGCACTTTTCCCAGGACAGGGACACATGGAGCCCGTAAAACAGGCCAGAGCCAGGCAGCAAGATGCCCATAGCTTCCAGGCCCGGCCCGTTAGGAGGCAGATGGATGGGGCCCAGGGTATGGACAGAAGAGAGTTCTCACCTGCCATGAACTTGGTGAGCCTCCGCAGCTGGATCTCCCTTTGTACCCCCAGATTTGGGTGGCAAGTATTTGAATTAGGATCCCACATGGATGACCAGGCCTCCCCTTGCTCCAACTGCCACCGCAGAGCAGCCCCTCAAGCCTGTGGCCCGGGCCCCAGGGCCCTGCAGCTCCCCATGTTGGCCATGCCGGGTGCCGTCACCGACCTTGAGGCAGAGCGGCCCTCGGAAGAACTGAGTCCAGGGGTGGCAGCCGTTGAGCATGTGCAGCATCATGCAGCAGCTGCTCCAGACGTCCACCTTGGCGTCGCAGCGCCTGCCCAACACCACCTCCGGAGCCATGTGGGTCTCTGTGCCAGGGATGTAGTCCCCTGAGAAGGCGGATAAGACATAAAGTCACCTGGAATGCTGATGGGCAGGAGCCTAGGCAATGGTCACCCCAGTTAATCCTCGGGGTATCTTAAATTTGTCACTGTTAAAGTACGTTTTATTTTATTATCTTTTTCGTTCTTTGAGACAGAGTCTCGCTCTGTCAACCCAGGCTGGAGTACGGTGGTGCGATCTTGGCTCACTGCAACCTCCGCTTCCTGGGTTCAAGCGATTCTCCTGCCTCAGCCTCCTGAGTAGCTGGAATTACAGGCATGAGCCACCACGCCCAGCTAATTTTTATATTTTTAGTAGAGATCGGGTTTCACCATGCTGGCTAGGCTGGTTTCAAACTCCTGATCTCAGGTGAGCCACCCACTTCGGCCTCCCAAAGTGCTGAGATTACAGGCATGAGCCACTGTATCCGGCCATGTTAAAGTACTTTAAATACAGAAATAACATCTCCAAGTCAAACTTGTAGGGAGGAGCTAGGCGGGGACTCTGCTGGGAACTTGTACCAAGCAACAGAGCACCCATGATATGGACTCTGCCCTTTGGACCAAACCCTTAAAGTGTTTTTTGAAAATAGGGCAGGGGCTGGACATTACAAATTAGGTTGTAGAAGGTTAATTACTGGTACGATGTTCCTGAAATACTAGTAAGTGAAATTTAAAAATCATAATAGAAAACTTATTTGCATAAAAGACTGAAAGAATAGATGGCAGATGTGAACAGTGGTTTTTTTCCTGGTGATCTGTATTTGTAATTTTTGCTTAGCTCTACTTTCTTCAAAAGATATTAGAAAAAAGGGTCAGGCAGTGGCTCATGCCTGTAATCCCAGCACTTTGGGAGACTGAGGTGGGAGGACCGCTTAAATCCAGGAATTTGAGACCAGCCCGGGCAACATATTGAGACCCCACGTATAGCTACAAAAAATAAAAAAAATGAGCCAGACATGGTGGTGCATGCCTGTGGTCCCAGCTACTCATACTCAGGAAGCTGAGGCGGCAGGATCACTTGAGCCAAGGAGCTTGAGGCTGCAGTGAGCTATGAGTGAGCCACTGCACTCCAGCCTGGGTGACAGAGCAAGACTCTGTCTCTAAAAAATAAAAGTTAAAAAAAATTAGAAAAGATACTTTTTTTTTTTTTTTTTTTGTAACAAGAAAAAGCCCACTAAAGTTATTTTAAAATAGCTTAAAACAACACGGGTGGAGGTCAAGTGTCCACATTCAATTTACATCTTCAAAATTGTCAACACAGTCCTTCAACAACACACAATCATATACTTCCCAAAGATTCTTTTTCTGTTGGTCAGAATGAAATCATTTTATCCTTAATGCTATAAATGAAAAAAGCAGGGCACAAAATTGTGTTATAATGGCGCTAACTAGACACAGGAAAAACAACAGCCTGGAAGGAGTTATCTAAAAGATTCATGATTCGGTCGGGCGCAGAGGCTCACGCCTGTAATCCCAGCACTTTGGGAGGCTGAGTGGGGCAGATCACCTGAGGTCTGGAGTTTGAGACTGGCCTGGCCAACATGGCAAAACCCCGTCTCTATTAAAAATACAAAAATTAGCTGGGCATGGTGGCAGGTGCCTATAATCCCAGCTACTCAGGAGGCTGAGGAAGGAGAATTGCTTGAACCTAGGAGGCGGAGGTTGCAGTGAGCCGAGATTGTGCCACTGCACTCCAGCCTGGGTGACAGAGTGAAACTCCGTCTTAACAAAAAAAACAAAAAAATTTGTGATTCTCTCTCTGGGTAAGAGGAATGGTGAGAATTCTGTTCTCCACCTCTTTTATATGCTTAACTCTATACTTCACAGTGGGCATGGATTATTTCAATAATCAGAGGAGTTAAAGAAAGATATTTCACTGGCTTTAGAGACCAGGCCCCTTGGTCAGCCTGCCCACTGTGCTTCCAGCCAACTGTGTCAGAGGCGCAGGAGAGCTGGGGTCACAGGCTGGCAGTGCACTCCCCTAAAAAGGCCAGACAAGAGGCGGGGGGAGCCATGGGGCCTCCAAGGCAGAAGGCCTGGGACCTAGCGAGAGTCAACAGCCTTTCCCTCTCTTCCCTGTGTACAGGAGCATCTGTGTACAGCGATGAGCACCTGACATCCATGATCGCATTTCCGCCTAACAAAGAAACCCCGATAATCATCCAGACGGGGTGCGGGGCTTAAACATACAGGTGGACCTAAGTGTTCACATCTCAATTCCCATTCTGGAAAGCATGGAAGGCATTTGGCGAATGAATGCACTGGGGGGCACAGCAGTTGGTGGGGGGCCTTACCTGTGAGCAAGGACTTCCCCAGGCCATCAGGTTGAAGACACACAGCATGGCCAAAGTCGCAGAGGGCTGCATGGCTCCCATCGCTGGACAGGAGCACGTTGTCAGCTGCCAGGCCGCCCCGGGGAGGAAGAGGAACAGGTGAGTCATGCCGGGTCCCAGCCCACCCTGGCTCGGTTTGGCCTGCCTTCCAGTGATGTAATTTTCTGGCTGACCCTACGTGGCAGCTGCTGCTTCTGATTAGTTTCATCAGTTGTGGAGGAAGGGAGGAGGGTATCAGTTCAGGCTAGAGGCAGACAGGATCTCTGAGGGCAAGGGGACAGGAGCAGGGTTTACTCTGGGGGAACGCTGCCACTCTGCTCGCCTGCCCCAACCCCGTACCAGGGGTCACCACTGGATGGGAGCTTGACCTTCAGTTCTCTGTGGCCACCATCTACCAGAAACTATAGTGCTTGGCTAAGGGGTTGGAGAACATCATTCCCCTTCCTACAGGCAGAGTCCTGTCAGCCTGACTCAGGGCCTGCTACTGGAGATGACCAGGCTAGCCCAGAACTGAGAGGAGATCAGGCAGGATGGTGTGAGAGAAGAGCCTGCTGGGGAGCAGGGCCGTGGGGCCTGGGCCTTACCTTTGACGTCCCCATGCAGAATCCTTCGTGAGTGGAGGTATTCCAGCCCCTCCAGGGCCTGGCCCAGGTAGTAGAGGGCCCGGTCCTCTGGGAGACAGCCCTGCTCCTTGACCAGCTGGCCCAGGGAGCCACCTAGGAGAACAAAGGCCAGGCTATACCTGGGACTTGCTCGAGCCTCCATGCCAGCCAAGGGCAAGAGCACAGGGCAGGTGGTGGAAAGCAGGGTCATAGGGTCAAGAGGTTAAAGGTGGAAAGCAGGTCACTGGTCCAATGGATGGATCAGTGACTAAGGCCAACTTGGGCAAGACTCAGGAAGGAACCCTTGGCACTGAATTTGGAGAAAGAGTGGGACCTGGCTCCTTACCTTCCAGCAGCTCCATGAAGATGTTGACCCAAGGCCCTTCCCTCACAGCTCCATACAAAGGGACAATTCTGGGTGAAGTCAATCCTGCACATGCCATCAGTTCCTCCGCCCGAAATACTTCCAGCCGCACCTGCAAGGGCCCAGAGGCAGCTGTGAGACAGGAAGAGGGGACCAGAGCTGGGTCCCTGACATCCTGTCAGGACCCCGGTGCTCCACACACAGAGGCTGCTGTTTCCAGTGGCTATGCAGGGGCCCGGGGGGCCTGCTGGACCCTCAGAGCCTAAATATCCCGTGCCCTTGGTATCAGAAGCAACTTCCTGAACTTAATTAAAGTTCTGGAGTGCTGCCTATGTGCAAAAACAGCCGCATAAAAACTACATTCTGGGCCGGGCGCGGTGGCTCACGCCTGTAATCCCAGCACTTTGGGAGGCCAAGGCGGGCGGATCATGACGTCAGGAGATCAACACCATCCTGGCTAACACGGTGAAACCCCGTCTCTACTAAAAAATACAAAAAAAAATGAGCCAGGCAAGGTGGCGGGCACCTGTAGTCCCAGCTATTGGGAGGCTGAGGCAGGAGAATGGTGTGAACCCGGGAGGCGGAGCTTGCAGTGAGCTGAGATCACGCCACTGCACTGCAGCCTGGGCGACAGAGCGAGACTCCATCTCAAAAAAAACAAAAACAAAAACAAAAAAACTACATTCCGGCCGGGCGCGGTGGCTCATGCCTGTAATCTCAGCACTTTGGGAGGCTGAGGTGGGTGGATCAAGGAGATCAAGGTCAGGAGATCAAGACCATCCTGGCCAAAACCCTGTCTCTACTAAAAATATAAAAATTAGCTGGGCATGGTGGCATGAGGCTGTAATCCCAGCTACTCGGGAGGCTGAGGCAGGAGAATCGCTTGAACTCGGGAGTCAGAGGTTGCAATGACCCGAGACTGCGCCACTGCACTCCAGTCTGGCGACAGAGTGAGACTCCATCTCAAAAAAAAAAAAAAAACAAAAACCACCCCCGCCCCCCAAAAAAACCAAAACCCTACATTCCTCATCCAGGCTGCTGGCACGCTGTCCGCCCTCAAATCTGCCAAACGTAGAACATTTTTTCCTCCAGCTAAATGGGCGATTTCTAGGATGTGGGTCCTTTTGCTAATCACCATCCATGTCTACTGTCAGAAGCCAGGCTTCTGACTTATCTGATGGTCAGGAACCAAGATTTGGACTCCATCGGGTGCATTTTGTTTTTCTTTTCTTTTTTTTTTTTTGAGACAGAGTCTCGCTGTGTCCCCCAGGCTGGCATACAGTGACGTGATCTTGGTTCACTGCAACCTCCGCCTCCCAGGTTCAAGCGATTCTCCTACCTCAGCCTCCCGAGTAGCTGGGACTACAGGTGTGTGCCACCATGCCCAGATACTTTTTGTATTTTTAGTAGAAACAGGGTTTCACCATGCTGGCCAGGCTGGTCTCAAACTCCTGACCTTGTGATTCACCCACGTCGGCCTCCCAAAGTGTTAGGATTACAGGCGTGAGCCACCGTGCCCGGCCTCAACACTTTTCTTAACTCTTGTAATTATTTGTTTCTTTCCCAGAGGACTAAAACATCCACATAGACAGAGCAGTGTGTATTCTGTTTGCAGCTGTCTCCCAGCATCTGGGAACATAAGGAGGCTTCTGCGGAGGGGTTTGGCCAACTGCCGACTGGCAGGTCTAGGATCATCCACTCCTTTCTAAAGGGACCAGCAACTTGGTGGGAGGAAATAGGCCTTGGATATAAACATTGTGGGCTTAGATCCTGGCTCAGCCTTTTAAAACAAGGCAGCAGACTTCCCGTCCATGTGTTTCCATATGCAAACAGCAGGGACAGTGGTATCTGCTCCTGGGTAGAGCAAGGATTTGGAAGGATGGTAACCGACACCAGGCCTGGCAACCAGTGGGCACTCAGGAAGTGCTAGCTCCCCAATTCCTCCAGCTCACATCAGAGAAGCTGATACTTAGACCTTTTTTTTTGAGACAGAGTCTCGCTGTGTCGCCCAGGCTGGAGTGCAGCGGTGCAACCTCAGCTAATTACAACCTCCGCCTCCCGGGTTCAAGCAATTCTCCTGCCTCAGCCTCCCGAGTTGCTGGGAGTACAGGCACCTACCACTATGCCCAGCTAATTTTTCATATTTTTAGTAGAGACAGGGTTTCACCATGTTGGTCAGGCTGGTCTTAAACTCCTGACTTCAGGTGATCCACCCGCCTCGGCCTCCCAAAGGGCTGGGATTACAGGCGTGAGCCACTGTGCCCGGTCTCTTAGACCTTTTTTTTTTTTTTTTGAGATGGAGTCTCGCTCTGTCACCAGGCTGGAGTGCAGTGGAGTGATATCTCAGCTCACTGCAACCTCCGCCTCCTGGGTTCAAGGGATTCTCATGCCTCAGCCTCCCGAGTAGCTGGGACTACAGGCACGTGTCACCATACCCAGCTAATTTTTGTATTTTTAGTAGAGACAGGGTTTCACCATGTGGTCTTGAACTCCTGGCCTCATGATCCACCCGCCTCGGCCTCCAAAAGTGCTGAGATGACAGGCGTGAGCCACTGCGCCCGGCCTCTTAGACTTCTTAATAGACTTGCCCTCCTTCCCGGCTGCTGATGGTTCTCAAGTACGCCTTGAGTGGCATCGCCAGGGGGCGCTGGCAGTAACAGAACCAGCTTGGAAGCGATCTCCACAGACTTGCTGACTTGGCAAACAGCTCTGACACTGGGGTTTTTGGACTTTTGCCTATCAGTGGAAAATATCACCCTTCTGGTTCCCTAATATCTGGTTTGATTAATCACCTCCCATGAACTTTGACTCTGCCAGTGTTTCCAGCTCTAAAAAGCCTCTGAACCTGAGTTGGAACTAATTCAACAACAGGACTTGTTAGCAAATGTCTTCAGCCTAACCAACCCCAAACTGAGCTTGAGGCACCCTGGGGCACTGCAGAGAACTCAGAAGGGTGCCAAATGGATATCTGACATTTGAGGGAAACAGCCACCGCAACGTCTGCTGGACACCGTGTGAACGACTTGCTCGAGACAGTTCAGCTTCAAAGTTCAATCACACGACATTCCCTTTGATAATGTATCTCTATGAAGCTAGGTTTTTGGAGGTCACTGTGATTAAAAGTACTTCAAGGAGGAAATGTGGGAAATGAAGGTGGTGGTGTCCTATCTGATTTCAAGGGTTGAGATGTGCAGCAAGGCATACATCTCATTAATAATCTGGCTGTTTGGAAATGGAAGGACCCTTTTTCTTTCAACTTATGTGTCGCTTTTCAAATGGCTACTAAGTTGTTACGATAAAGACTTATTATTTGACCTCATTGCTTCATACACAGATCTGTTGGGTATTTGTTTTGGCCTGGGTTGCCCTGAAACAATGACTGAGATATTAACAGGGCTGTGATCCAAAAGAGTTGGGGAAACTTGGCTTTAACTCTGCAGAAATCTGTAAGTCCTCCTAGAGTGTCCCGTCCATGCTAAAAATATTTCCAGTCACCCAGACCAAAGAGGGTGGGAGGAGATACTTCAAAACACAAGGTGCTTTAGAAGTCTGTGCCAGCGGGGAAAGCAGCCCAGCCTTCCAGGCCAAGCTGGCTGCCCGTGTGGCCACCCCTCCTCTCTGAACTTCCATGTTCCTCATCTGTAAAATGAGGGGGCTGGACTGTGATGAGGATATTCATGAGAATTACGATCTAATGCCCACTTATCATTTCCCAAGCACTGGTAAAGCCCTTTCTAATCATTAGTTATTCAGATCTTACAATAGCCTGTAAGCTGGTGGGATCATTATCCCCATTTTATAGATGAAGAAGCTGAAGCCTGGGCAAATAATCTGCCCAAGGTCACTGTGTATAAGAGATCACAGCCGGGCTTTTGCTCGGGTAAGCCTGACTCCAGAGCTGCCAGCTACTCTGCCTCCCGAAGGCCTTTCCATGCTGAACTTTTTTTTTTTTTTTTTTTTTTTTTTTTTTTTTTTTGAGACAAGGTCTCCTCCCTCGGTTGGCCAGGCTGGAGTGCAGTGGCACAATCACAGCTCACTGCAGCCTCGACCTTCTCGGGCTCAAGTGATCCTCCCATCTCAGCCTCCCAAGCAGCTGACACTATAGGCGCCATGCCCAGCTAATTTTTGTATTTTTTGTAGAGATGGCGTTTTGCCATACTGCCCAGGCTAGTCTTGAACTCCTAGGCTCAAGTGATTCTCCCACCTTGGCCTCGAACATGTTGAGATTACAGGCGTGAGCCACTGTGCCTGGCATCCATGCTAATGTTTTAAAATACATTCAGGAGCGAGCATCCCCAGGGGGAAGCACTGTCAGCAATGAGCCCACTGCCCAATCCAGAAGCCACTTCCCTCCACTCAACTGCCTGCACGCTGGACGCTGGGAATCACTTTTTCCTCCTTGAACTTTCCTCTTGTTTTCCTTGGTAATCTTTTTTTTTTTTTTTTTTTTTTTTTTGAGATGGAGTCTCACTGTGTCGCCCAGGCTGGAGTGCAGTAGTGCAATCTCAGCTCACTGCAACCTCTGCCTCCCAGGTTCAAGCGATTCTCCTGCCTCGGCCTCCCGAGTAGCTGGGACTATAGACGCCCGCCACCACGCTCGGCTACTTTTTTAGTATTTTTAGTCG